CCTGGACCTGTGACCAAAAACAAACTACAAATGGACAGTACCAAAACAAATGATCTAATGATTCTGTCTCTTCGCAGCAAAATCTGCAAAGCTGAGAAGATTGTATCCCCCATATAAATAACATTCTATTGGTAAAATAATTTTGTATAATAATTTAAATTAAAAAATTCTAAGTTTAGAATCTGGTGTCGTTTTGCGTATCAGTTTATAAACACTATGCCATGGAATCGGTACGTCAAAAATCTCTTCCCAACTATTTTGCAATCTATATGGGACGGCTGTCAATCCTTTGGTCCTTAAATTAAACTGGTATACATTTTTATCTATCACAATTTTCTTTAACCAATGATGTTCTTTAATGCAGGGCCGACAAACAAGTTCCTTACTTTTTCCCCCTTCCACTTTCCTCTTCCATGTAATTTTGGGTATAGCAGACATTTCCATATGTTTTTGTTAGCTGCATGTGCGACAACTCCACCAGTCCTACCTATGATATCATTTACGAAGATTCTACTTTATTTTTTTATTTTATTTTTTTAAATAATGTTTTTTTTATCAATTAGTATATTTGAGTTTAACCACAATATTTGTTGCATTATTTGCTCTGTCGTTTCTGGAGGATTACATTGAAATTGCAACCAACTTTCTATGGCTTGTTTTAGAAATAGTGATATTTGGGAGATTATTTCCTTTTCAAATAACTGAAAGTGAGAGGTTGTAATCTGAATAAAGGGAAAAAGGCCATTCTTGAACATGGGGTGAGACAATCTTACTAATTTGCTAGAGAACCAGTTCGGATTTAAGTATAACTTTTGTATGACTGAAGCTTTTAGTGATAGGTCTAATGCTCTACTATTTAATCATTTCTGTCCTCCGAATTCATATTCATATGTAAAACAAAAAACTACTTTATATCAAATGATTGCCTTTGATTTGACTGTCTGCAAATGCACAGGATGGCGAGACATAACCATTAGACCTGATGACGTGTTTCTGCACATGGATTTTGCTAGCTAATGTCGCCATGACATCGCCCACAAGTGTAATCTGAGATTTCTATTGGAGAATCAGTTTCTGGAACTCTTCTACACTGAGTGTACACAACATTAAGAACACCTGCTCTTTCCATGACATAGACTGACCAGGTGAATCCAGGTAAAAGCTATAATCCCTTATTGATGTCACTTGTTAAATACACTTTAATCAGTGTAGATGAAGGGGAGGAGACAGGTTAAAGAAGGATTTTTAAGCTTTGAGACAATTGAGACATGGATTGTGTATGTGTGCCATTCAGAGTGTGAATTGGCAAGACAAAACATGTAAGTGCCTTTGAACAGGGTATGGTAGTAGGTGCCATGCGCACCAGTTTGTGTCAAGAACTGCAACGCTGCTGGGTTTTTCACGTGCAACAGTTACCCGTGTGTATCAAGAATGGTCCACCACCCAAAGGACATCCAGCCAACTTGACACAACTGTGGGAAGCATTGGAGTCAACATGGGCCAGCATCCCTGTGGAACGCTTTCAACACCTTGTAGAGTCTATGCCCGTCAAATTAAGGTTGTTCTGAGGGCAAAAGGAGGTGCAACTCAATATTAGGAAAGTGTGCATATCCTCTTTGGTGTGTATATCCGAGCAATGACTGTGAACAGCCAATGACTGTATCGTGATGATTGTCATCACACAGAGAATGATGGGCTGTGGGCACCGTGTAAATATTGTATTAACTTGAGCAGTCATATGGGGATAAATAGCTCAACGTTAAAATATCAATTTATAGCGTTTGAGATGTGTTGAACACAAACATGTAGAATACTGACCTAAGATCTGTGGATCTAATCAACTGGTATATTACCTTCTGCAATGTTTGACTAATAGTGCTGAGCGATTCACTTTGAAGAACTACTAAAATAGTGATTTTGTCAGACAGCAAAGGCAGCAGCTCTGTAGAGATGAGATGATGACTTGGAATGAAATAATAAAGTCATCAAATAAAACAAATACACAACCAATGAAATATTGTTATTAAAGTAAAGTAATGTGAATAAATGATGGTTCATAAGTGATAAGCAGTAATGGTCAGTCGCTACCATCATGGGACTTTTATTCATTGTTTTATTCAGTGTTACAGCATTCAACCCACACAATGCATAGTGCGTTTAATGTCAAAAAGAATAATAATCAAAAACTGAACCAACTTCAAAAAGCACTAATCGCTCAGCACTTGATTAATAACTGTTCTATATACAGCCCTACTGTAGCGGTCTTAACAGAACACCTAGCGACCTCGTCAAGGGGTTCAGACCTCTTGGCGTAACGGTAAAGGTGTTAGCTTGACAGTCGCTGGACCCGGGTTCGAGTCCAGATTGGGGCAACTCCTCGAATTCGTTACAATATCAACATGTATGCTTGATAATCGGTACGTTTGATTAGCATCTTCCCTTTAAATGGGTACAGAAACTGTCAACACAAAAACCCGGAATGTAGTGATTCTGCAAGGTTATTAGGAATTCCAAATAAGCCCCTGCTCAAATAGACATCATGCAGATCTGAGAATAGAAGATGAATTCACCGAGCCTATCAGAGAGCAAGGTGGTGCCAGGGAGTGTCGAAACACGTCAGTGTAATACATATCAAGTTGCAGTCTACATTTAGTTTCATGCCGTTGCTATCACTTTTCCTTTGAAGGGTATTTGAAGGGTGACTAGATAAGGACTTCATAACACATTCATAAGCAGAGCGTTTCAATTATGCTTGTGCCGACAGGTACCTTCCAAATTGTATCACTTTATTTGAAGGGTACCGACAAAATACTTCAAAACACATTAATAAGCAGAGCATTAATTATGATTATGCCAACAAGTACCTTTTCACATTAAGTGTTACATTTACATTTACATTTTACCGATCACTTCAGATATGCTTGCTCAGCTGCTGGGCATGGCCCTGTTCTCTGAGACGGCCTCACACCTGGAGGTGAAGCCTTGACACAAACACCACCAGCAGGTTCAGGAAAGCATGGAACAAAGAGCTGCAGAGAAAAATTGAGAGTTTTCTACGGTGAAAATACTTACGTATATTTAAATACAGAAAGCACTTCAAAATGGTTACCGGTAGTAACGTTTTATTATAGTCAATATTACATTGATTCTAGTCAAGGTAAACAATATAGTAGCCAACCCTCATTTGTAATTGTAGAAATAATCTAGCTGCTTTTCATCAACTAGGTTGAACCAATTAATCAGAAGTGATTTCCTCTCTGCATTCAGGGAATCTCTCTGGGGTTTCCTAGAGCAACAGTCTGTAAGGGCAGACACGTCTAATTAAATCTAATCATGATGCCAGTTCAAGAAGTCATGACCTCAGTCAAGCATCCATTCATAACCGTACTAGTGGTTAGACAGTTAATCAGTGTGCAGGGAGGATGTAAGCTTTTAGTAGCTCTCTGTTCCCGTCCATTAAAATCTACATGACACAAACTGTACTCAAAGTCAAACAACCACTTATTTTACTGTGATTAACTTTTTATTGACAGCTTCATTTACCTTGGGTCATAAAAAAACTATCTTATTTAGTCTCTCATTGTTGAATGGGGAAAAAGTAAGGATGTGATCCTTGGTAAGGCAATTGGCATGATTTAGGGATGTTGTTATTGTATCCACAGATGAATGGCCGGACATGGAGAGGATTACGTATCAGGGTATATATACCACCCCTGTTTGTACACAACATCATTTAAGCTTGACATGGCAGATACCAGAAGTCAAACAGTTAAACCCCAGATACATAAAGTCCACTGTTAAAAACATAAGACATTGATGGGACATCAAAAAGCCATTTTCAGCTTCCAAAATGCTCCACTGGCTAAAAAGGTTTGACCATGGTCAATGGTGGATTAGTAAGGAGTGTTTTTGCATTGCATGGGAGAAGAATCCCCCATAAACACAAAGTCTTAACAGGGCAGGAACAGGAGAAGAAAAAAGCCACCAAGTGCTGCACGCATGCTGATTGGCCCAGGTAGTTGGAAGTGGGGAGTGTTAAGATTACGGGGTTTACTAATGTTAAGGGGATTAACAGTTGTGGGTAGGAGGGGGTCAGGGAAGGGAAACGGGTGCCACTCTTCTTCTCTTCAGCCTCGGGCTCCATTTTACCCCTCCATGTCGAGATAGACCTCCTTACCTTCCCTGCGGATGACATTTGGCAAAAGGGAATATCGAAGGCACCGAAATACAGTAAGATGGTCCCACAGCCTTCGGTTGACAATGTGAATGCTGCAGAAGTCGAGTTTCAGGTAAAAGCCTAAGTGTATGTTTTCGTTGACTTGGTAACTGTAGATGTTATGCGTAGGTATTGTGGTTGGGGTTATATGGGTAATGAAGTTGTTATAGCCTGCTTCATTAGTCTTATTGAATGAGTAAAACTAAACCTACCACAGCAGTAGCACTAGTTACTACAAAAGCACATGTTTCAGCCTCTACGAGCCTACAATGATTACAATGCATAACCATCCCTCACGATCCCTTTGTTTAGTTCTACTAAATTTCCATAGCATTCAAATATAGGTTATTGTTTCTCCAAAAACAATGGGGTCAAAGTAGTGTGGGGGTCAAAAGGCTAAATACTATTGCCAAACTTGAACAGCAGTGTTCCTTTTAAGCATATTGAGTGTTGTATTGGATTCCAAATTAATGTTATGAGGTCTGTTAGTGATACGATGGTGATGTGAAACATAATTGCTGTTTTATTTTTTAATTTTTTGCTCTCAGGACCTGCTGTCTTTCGTGCCTAAGGCCACCGGCTAAAAGTACAGAAATACCTCAGCTAAGCTGCTTATGAGGTCCTCCAGAAAATAGCTTGGCCCCTTTCTACTTCCCCCATCCATCCCTCTTCCCCATTGGTCCACAGCCCTTCTGCCCTCCCAACCGCTGTACCTGTTCGTCTCTTCTGGATGAGAAGGGCAGACTTTGACAGGACACGTAGACACAGTAAACGAAAGGACAAAATGGCGGTCTTAAAGGTAACGTTCACCAAGACCACTCGGGGCAAGCTATCCCAGGTGTTGTGGGTCCTCAACTGGATCTCTGTGTTTAACGGGCATCATCCTCTTCAGCCTGGGCCTCTTCCTGAAGGTGGAGATCCAGAAACGAAAGGAGCTCATGTCCGCTGATGTCCACTCAGTGCCCGACATGCTCATCGCCACGGGCCTGGTTGCCTGCGCCATCAACTTCCTGGGCGGCAAGATCTGCTACGATTGCGTTGACACCACCAAGTTCCTGCGCTGGAAGCTGCTGATGCTGCCGTACATCGTGTGTACCTTCCTCTTTACCTTCTGCATCCTGGTGGGCGCGCTCATGTGCTACAGCATGCGGAACGAACTGGAGGAGTCACTGTTTCTGGGATTGCGTAACGCCATGCTCTACTACAAGGACACAGGCACGCCGGGACGATGTTATCTCAAGCGCACAGTGGATTTGCTGCAAATCCAATTCCAGTGTTGCGGAAACGCCGGCTTCCGCGATTGGTTCCATGTCCAATGGATCAACAACCGCTGGTTGGACATGACCCACAGTGAAGTAACAGAGTAAGTACAAAGGAGTACAGTACATCACCACTCTGGTCCTGTCTGGACCCCTCTACCCAGCTCTGGTCCTGTCTGGCCCCTCTACCCAGCCATCAGGGCCAGAGTCTACCCAGCCATTATGGCCACAATCTATCCAGCTGACAGGGCCATAGTCTACCCAACTGACAGGGCCAGAGTTGAAGGTACTTGATTAATCCGATTGAACCTGTGAATAACCCCAACAAAAGGTGCCATCTTCGTGCCTTGCAAGACTGTGACAAAATATATACTAACACATTCATAGTGAACAGTACCCGAAGCAGATGCTACCTGCTGTCAACACCAGTACACCAGTCCTCCTCATTAAGCTGCCCAGTCAAACCGTTAAGCAGCAACACTGTATCGAATGAAAAATGGTAAGGTTGCGAGAGAGGCTTATCCAGTAGGGGTCAGGATGTCACTGTGACAGGAAATGACCCGGCAGGTTGAATAATGTATCTTTCAATATCTGGTTTGTTTAGTTTTTTTACTGCATCAAAGTGACTTATACAAACAGATTCAAAGTCCAGGTAAAAAATTCATCTCTCTCTCTCTCTCCTCTCTAGCTAGAGGCTCTCTCAGAGTGCGTCAGAGGCCTCTCTCTTCTGAGAGGGAGTACTCCTCCTCTCTCTCTCGCGAAAGAGCGGAGCTCGCGTCTTCGCTCTCTACTCTCTCTCATCTCTCTCTGCTCTCTCTCTCGTCTCTCTCTCTCCCTGAGTCGTCTCTCCTTCTCTCTCTCTCTCTCCCCTTCATCGTCTGAGGAGTAACGTGGAGGGCAAGTACCTGATGGATGGGGTACCTTTTAGCTGCTGCAACACCTTCTCTCCACGACCCTGCATCCAGACACAGGTCACCAACAACTCCGCCCACTACAACTATGATTGGAAGACGGACGAGCGCAACCTGTGGACGAGGGGCTGCCGCCAGGTCCTGCTGGATCATTACACCAACATCATGCAGTCCATCGGGTTTATCGTGCTCATCATCTGGTTGTTCGAGGTTGGCTTTACATATCCAACGCTCCATTCTTATCATTTACTTTGAATAAGTCACTATGGGTTGACATACCCTTTATTTTACAGTCATTATTAACTTTGCCATGACTTGGTACGTGACGGTGATAATATTAATAATTATGGGGTAGTGTAGAATATCGAACCCAGAGTAGACAAGGGAGGTGATAGGTGGGAATGAGGAGGGCGCATGGTTGTAGAAAAATAGTACTTGATTTATTGCAGATGAAGGATTTTCGGAAACATGGCTTGCGTTGAAAACAGTCCGGTCCATCGCAGTAACATTTAGGATACAAAAACTCTAAAAAAATGACGATGATGGCGAGTCTAAAGCTCAGCCCCTCAATAGGCTCCTACTGCAGCTATACTAGGCCTAAATGCTAAACAATACAACTAGGGATTACCCCTTTTCCAGCTCTAAGCAGAGCCTAACTCTCCCCTTACTGGGACTAAAGAGCGTCTACCAGGACAGCTAAAATCAACTGTCTGTATATACAGGACACAACAAACAAACTACTATCGAGCACATTGTAAAATGGTATTCAACCGCGATTTGAGAGAAAAGGACTGCGTTTTTACCTTAGCGCCTAAACCTCTACCATAACAATTAACCAATGAGAATGTACATTTAATTAACTGAACTGTATTTTGTTAATGGAAAACATGATTTACGTCAGTTGCATTCATTAGTTTAAATGACCATATTTAGTCAAGTACACTAGTTTAAAAGACAGAGCAACATCAACTAGAACATGATTAGAACTCCTACTGAGGGAGATGCGTGGGTGAACTGCACGTTAACTATCTAACTCACCACAACTGGCTTGAACCTGAGCAATCAACTCGGTAGCAAACAATTAAGGTCAGCACACCTAAACTGCTGGATAGCTACTCATGACAACGGACTAAATGCACTTTATCCAAAACCACACATGTCATTTATATACTTGAGTATTTTAGATCATATTAAACTTCATGAAATACGTTTGAAATACTTTTTTTAAAATGGTGATGAGACCAGTCCAAGGCTGCCTCATCACAGGTAGTTTGAGGGAGAATATCCAGAATGAGGTGATTGCTGCCATCACATGACACATTTGGTTTATGACAACTCTGGTTGTGGAGACGGGGTGCACCTACGTCCTACACATCATCATTACAGGCCAGACAAAGCTTCAGGAGGACACCCAGATATTCCAGTCCGGTGACCTGACTGTGGCAGAGGAGGTTACCCTGAGGGCAACACAATTGGTGTACCCGGTCTCCATGGAGGTGCCACTCTCCCAAGACCAATTTGTCCAGGGGCTGATCACCTTAGAGGGGACAGCCACGAAAGACAGTACGGCCTTCGCGAGAAGCACAGGAACATTACCCTCACTGGGGCAATGGGAGAAGTATGTGGTCGCCCCGTGGAGGGAGGGAATATGAGATATATAGATCTCTTTTCAATAATGAAGAGATATCTACGGTGTAATTCAACTTCCATTTTTCTCCAAGTGGCTGATAGCTTCTTTATGTCTCTCTGGTAGTGTAGAGCTACAAGGTATTAACAAGGTAGAGTGACATCTTTTCTCTTTGTCTCCCAACAGCTATGGGTGCTGACGGGCGTGCGCTATCTCCAGACAGCTATGGAGAACGTTCTACGGCAGGGTAACCCCGACCTGGAGTCTGACGGCTGGCTCCTGGAGAACAGCATTGCCCAGACGGCCCGCTCTAACTTCAAAATCATCAAGAACCTAGGCAAGTGCTACCAGGTGGACGATGATCCTAACATCGATGTGCCCAGCACCGCTCAGCAAGAGGTATCCACTTGCCAGATCCCTGTGGCTAGATAGCATAGCGCAGCGTCCCTGGGCCAGGGCTGAGGCACGCAAATGGGCATCAAGTCCCACTGCCACTAGGTGTAAGCCTTTTGGATGGCAGATCTGTCTCCAGATTAAACGTGCGACAGCTGTGAACTGAGGGATCAAAGGTGAGAGCGAGTGCAGCAGGGCAGGCTCAAGGACAGCCTACAAAGAGCGAGTGCAGCAGGGCAGGGTCAAGGACAGCCTACACAGAGCGAGTGCAGCAGGGCAGGGTCAAGGACAGCCTACACAGAGCGAGTGCAGCAGGGCAGGCTCAAGGACAGCCTACACAGAGCGAGTGCAGCAGGACAGGCTCAAGGACAGCCTACACAGAATGAGTGCAGCAGGGCAGGCTCAAGGACAGCCTACACAGAGCGACTGCAGCAGGGCAGGCTCAAGGACAGCCTACACAGAGCGAGTGCAGCAGGGCAGGCTCAAGGACAGCCTACACAGAGCGAGTGCAGCAGGGCAGGCTCAAGGACAGCCTACACAGAGCGAGTGCAGCAGGGCAGGCTCAAGGACAACCTACACAGAGCGAGTGCAGCAGGGCAGGCTCAAGGACAACCTACACAGAGCGAGTGCAGCAGGGCAGGCTCAAGGACAACCTACACAGAGCGAGTGCAGCAGGGCAGGCTCAAGGACAGCCTACACAGAGCGAGTGCAGCAGGGCAGGCTCAAGGACAACCTACACAGAGCGCGTGCAGCAGGGCAGGCTCAAGGACAACCTACACAGAGCGCGTGCAGCAGGGCAGGCTCAAGGACAACCTACACAGAGCACATGCAGCAGGGCAGGCTCAAGGACAACCTACACAGAGTGCGTGCAGCAGGGCAGGCTCAAGGAGAGCCTACACAGAGCGAGTGCAGCAGGGCAGGCTCAAGGACGACCTACACAGAGCGTGTGCAGCAGGGCAGGGTCAAGGACAACCTACACAGAGCGCGTGCAGCAGGGCAGGCTCAAGGACAACCTACACAGAGCACGTGCAGCAGGGCAGGCTCAAGGACTACCTACACGGAGCGCGCTCTGAAAATCACCTGCTTTGTCACATGATACTGCAACACCTGCATCATCTTAACTGGAAAAAAAGATCACAGTTTAAGAATATGAACTGGCTGCAACTTTGTCATTGTGCCATAGTCATTAAACTGAAGGGGAGCAGGGCAAAGTGAAATGGAGTCAAACAAGTGTACAACCCAGTACTACAACCCCATAGACATAAGGGACATGGTACAGTCTGAGTGAAAGATGATGTCATAATGAGCCATATGTTATGGGCAACAACTGTTATAGAAGCGAAAGAAACGCACACCTGTTTAGGAGAGGTGCTGGCTAACAGAGTAGAACACCTGTTTAGGCGAGGTGCTGGCTAGCAGAGTAGAACACCTGTTTAGGGGATGTGCTGGCTAACAGAATAGAACACCTGTTTAGGAGAGGTGCTGGCTAACAGAGTAGAACACCTGTTTAGGAGAGGTGCTGGCTAGCAGAGTAGAACACCTGTTTAGGAGAGGTGCTTGGCTAGAGAACACCTGTTTAGGAGAGGTGCTGGCTACAGAGTAGAACACCTGTTTAGGAGAGGTGCTGGCTACAGAGTAGAACACCTGTTTAGGAGAGGTGCTGGCTAGCGGAGTAGAACACCTGTTTAGGAGAGGTGCTGGCTACAGAGTAGAACACCTGTTTAGGAGAGGTGCTGGGTAGCGGAGTAGAACACCTGTTTAGGAGAGGTGCTGGCTAGCAGAGTAGAACACCTGTTTAGGAGAGGTGCTGGGTAGCGAGTAGAACACCTGTTTAGGAGAGGTGCTGGCTAACAGAGTAGAACACCTGTTTAGGAGAAGGCTGCTAGGAGTAGCAGAGTAGAACAACCTGTTTAGGAGAGGTGCTGGCTAACAGAGTAGAACACCTGTTTAGGAGAGGTGTGGCTAGCAGAGTAGAACACCTGTTTAGGAGAGGTGATGGCTAGAGAGTAGAACACCTGTTTAGGAGAGGTGGCTAACAGAGTAGAACACCTGTTTAGGAGAGGTGCTGGCTAGCGGACTAGAACACCTGTTTAGGAGAGGTGCCGGCTAGCGGAGTAGAACACCTGTTTAGGAGAGGTGCCGGCTAGTGGAGTAGAACACCTGTTTAGGAGAGGTGCTGGCTAACGGAGTAGAACACCTGTTTAGGAGAGGTGCTGGCTAGTGGAGTAGAACACCTGTTTAGGAGAGGTGCTGGCTAGCGAAGTAGAACACCTGTTTAGGAGAGGTGCTGGCTAGCAGAGTAGAACACTTGAAAAAGAAGAGGAAAGCAGCACACTCTAGGAGCTCAGATGCAATAATTTAATATCTTAATAACCAACGTTTCGACAGAAAAGCTGTCTTCATCAGGGTATTCCCTTGGTTATTAGGATATTAAATTATTGCATCTGAGCTCCTAGAGTGTGCGGCTTTCCTTTTCTTTTTCATGGGCAACAATTATGCCAAGAAAGCAGTGGAGGACAGCTCATAATAATGTCTGTAAAGGAGCGAATGGAATGGCATCAAACACGTGGAACCCATGTGTTTGATGTATTTGATACAATTCCACTAATTCCGCTCCAGCCATTACCACGAGCCCGTCCACTCCCAATTAAGGTGGCTCCAACCTCCTGTGCAAGAAAGTGATGGACATAAACTGTTTAACAAATTGTGTAAAGGGAAATGGAAACAGCAAACTTGAATTGCCTTCTACAGTTTCTTCAACTCAATCTCCTGTGTGTATCTTTTTAGTTTTATGGGTTACTGTAGAATAGATACAAGGGATATAGAACTGCAAGATGGAAGGTTCAAATAGAGCAGGAAGAGGAGGGCCAGTCCATTGCATATATTTCTGAAAAGGTGACATGGACAAATTGGACTCTTAGGAATGTGTTGTCAGGTTAGTTGGCCTCCTGAGTGGCGCAGTGGTCTAAGGCACTGCATCGCAGTGCTAACTGTGCCACTAGAGATCCTGGTTCAAATCCAGGCTCTGTCGCAGCTGGACGTGACTGGGAGACTCATGGGCGGCGCACAATTGGGCCAGGGTAGGGGAGGGAATGGCCGGCAGGGATGTAGCTCAGTTGATAGAGCATAGCGTTTGCAACGCCAGGGTTGTGGGGTTCGATTCCCACAGGGGGCCAGTATTTTAAAAAAATGTATTCACTAACTGTAAGTCGCTCTGGATAAGAGCGTCTGCTAAATGACGTAAATGTAAAAAATGTTATCAGGATCACACCATAAAGGTTCATTGTCTAGAAATGTGAAAATCCAGTAATTATAATGTCATGGTAGTGGATAGTTAAGTGACAACTACTCTGAAAACACTAACTTTCATTTTCCTGTTTTGGCAAAGCCTTCAAGGAACCTATGTTTTTCAGGAGCCTAAATCAAGAGAATAAAATGGGAGAAAGCTGCTTTTTACAAAATGTTTAGCTGTACAGGAATAATGTGGTGTTTCCACAGTGCAGGTTTGATAGAATCTGGTCCTCAGGGTAAGAATATGTGTGTCTACCCCTTAGTACTGCTCTAGGGCATAGTTTCCTTTCAATGATTTCAATCCTATGCAGTGCTAGGGCCAGGACCGAGTTTGGGAAACGCTGCTCAAAAGTCCAATACAGGATATACGTTTTCAAACCGTTTTAAAAAAACGTTCAGATCTCGCGTAAATCATTTGTATCCATTGGTATACCTTTATTGATACCAGCGAAAACAAAACTATTTTATATTTCCAACCGGAAATAATAAAGCCTATTGTTTGTTTTTTATGATGTCCATTTGAAGAAAATGACGTTTCTTAAGAGGTTGGGTGCAACACTGAAAAATTGCAATAAAGACATTACTTTGTGTTAATTTATTGATCTGGAAATGACCAAAATGTAATGTAAATATAAATAAGCTCTTAAAAGTTCCATGCTACACATTTGATTATATCAATTGTATACTTTTATTTTTTTTAACTGAAGATAGTATTCTTTCCCGATATCGTACTTCTGGACAAATTCTTTGAAGTTCAGGAGAGTGTTTTCAAAATCACCTGGCCTGACCACCTCAATAGAAACCATGTCCTCTGCTCTCACAGCTTTGCTATAAGCGGAAGTCTCTGGTTGTTTAGGAACTTTCCGTGACAGATCACGCCTGACTATTTTTGATGTAACAACAGGCCATAATCCCTCTGTTAATGAGATTGCGCCACACTTCACCTACAATCCATCACAGGACCTCACATCCGATTAAGAACCTGACAAATGGCACTGATGTACGGTGGGCCCAACCGAAGCAGGAACCCAGACATACCCAGGTTTCAGTACAGTACAGTCAGCCAGACATACCATCAGAAGCAGACTTTTAGTTCAGTTCAGATATGCAATTTTGATGCAGTCATCAGAACTACAAAAAGGTATTGTAATTGTAAGGCTACAGGTACAGTGCAGTAACTGCTATTTTGGATGCAGTTATTGCTGTATAATTGCTATATAACCACAGTTGAACTGCAGTTCAAACTGCAAAATGTTCTGCACATTAGACAAGATACTGCAGTTACAAAAGTGACTCGTTTTTTTGGACGCAGTAATTGTGAAACTGCAATATAACGTCACTGTAACTGCAACTCTATTTTGTAAAGGAGATCATATGCATAGTATTCGAAACCGCTGGTGGTTACATTCTAAATGATGGTTGTTCACACAAAGTGGAAAGAAGGCTGAGGTACTGATTTTGGATTCACCCACACAGCACATATACTGCACACCAACGGTAAACCAACGACTCAAATCTGGCCTTAGTGGGAACTTACTTAGTATTTGTCATTATTTTGATTACTCTCACACAATAGACCGGGGATAGGTAACATCTTCATGCTCGAGGGCCATATTGGGACTTTGAGAATCGACAGTGGGTCACAAAACATTTTTCACAGATTTTTTCGTTAATGGATGAAAAATGTTTTTGGACCGATTGTTTCTTACAGGAAAAATAGCGGTTATTTTAAAATACATAGGTCCATT